ACTATGGGGGGGGTGGGTAGTAGCAACATTTATTCAAAACCTTCTATGTTGTCAGGCACTAGGAATACAAATAGAAAGAGAACAGTCCTTGCCTTCAAGGAGCTTACAATCAAAAAGAAAGCTGAAAAGCAAGGGGGCAGAGGAGGTGGTAAGATAGGAAAGAGTCAAGGCACAGTGAGAAAGAAGTCCAGGGGAGGAGCCTGGAGAAGAATGAAGTAGTGAATATGGGTAGCCTGGGCCCTTCCTTGAAACGGAAGGAACTGACCAATCAGATGAAGGGGCTTCAGGGCAGAGGGATCTTCCAGGGTGAGAAGGCTTGAGGGGAAGGGAAGGCTGCTGAGGAACGGGGGAGAAAGAAGTCTGAGAGTCCAGAACAGCTTAGAAAGGAATGAAGGAGCTCCAAGTTCTTCTAATTGTCATTCAAAATCCATTATCTTCTCTTCTCTCCTCTTCTCAATATTATCACTGTCAGAAATCTCAATCAGGATTCAATTTTTCCTTCACAAGTATACAGTGTCACTGAGCTGTTCTTTAGGGGAAACTCAAGATCTCCTAAGCAGGGTGCTGTAGGTAGGTATAGTTTCTTTTCTTTAAAAATGTGTACTCTCGGGGCAGCTAAGTGGTACAGTGGATACAGCACCGGCCCTGAAGTCAGGAGGACCCGAGTTCAAATACGGCCTCAGACACATAACACTTACTAGCTGTGTGACTTTGGGCATTGCCTCGCCAAAAAAAAAAAAAAAGTGTACTCTCTTGGAAAATCTGGGTCATTGAGTCAATCAAAGGATAGGGCATTCAGAAGTCAAGGGGCTAGAGAAGAGTTGCAGTCTGCTGAATATCTTTTCCCCTCCCTGTCAGAACTTGTTTCCTTTTGCCCCCAGGAGTCTGTGACTGCTTCCTCCTATTCCGAATCCCAAAGCCTAGCATGGTGGCAAGTCTTTCCCATTATAAAAACTCAGTGAGCATTCCCAACTTGTGGAGGTTATGTAAACATGATTAGAGATGGCTCCAACTAAGTCACTCAACTCCTCCTGGAATTGAAGAAAGGAAGCACATTCCCTCACTCCTGGATGAAATGATCCTCTAACCTGTGTGCAACCTTTCCTCCAAGGGTGTTCTCACACCATCTAGCTCTGATGTCAGGGGGAGCAGGCATAGAGATATGAGATACTCCGTGTTTACATTATCACCAGTTGTACAGTAACAGAGAACTCTTTCTTGTTTAATCTGTTAGTGGGACAACTACCTGAGAGGTACAAAAATGGGGTACCAAAAAATCAAATCAAAGTACATTAATCATGTGTCTTTTATGTTTAAGGAACCTAAAGATAAAAAATATCTTCGCTCTAAAGTAGAGTTTATCATTTTATAGGGTATGAGAAGGGCAGATGGTGGCACATGGATAGTCAGGAAAACTCATATTTGGTTAATTCAAATAGGGCCTCAGACACTAACTAGCTGTGTGACCCTGGGCAAGTCACTTAACCCTGTTTGCCTCCATTTCCTCATCTGTAAAATGAGCTGAAGAAGGAAATGGCAAACCACTCCAGTATCTTTGCCAAGAAAATCCCAAATCAGGTCACAAAGAGTTGGACGTGACTGAAAAACTACTCAACAACAACAGGGTATGAGAAAATTTAAGATGAAGTTCCTATTTCTTTAGTACCTTAAATACCATTTCCTGGAGGTAGATAATGAGAAATACTAAAATGTAATTACAACTTGACACTGGTGGGCTGTGTGCCACCTTATGTGCACACACTATGAGATGCTTGGGGTAGAAGTAATAGTCCAGCTTTAAGTGATGAAGTGACTTGCCTACTATGGTCACACAGCTAATGTTAGAAGAGGTATTTAGTTTCAGGGAGAAGCCTGAGGTAGCAAAATGTTAGATGATTTCTGAAATACAATCCAGCCTCCTCTTTTCCCCCTGTTCATTTCTGGAAGTAGTTCAATGTCCATGGACAACTTCTTTCCAAGATATGTACTGACAAAGCAGTTATAAGCCAACGACAGAAGTGTGGACCAATGTTCTCCAATCTTTCAATTACATAATCCTATCACTAAAACTTTTTTTTAGCATATCCCCCCAATATTTGCTTATTTATAAATTATATACTACTGTACTAATAATTATGTACATTGTAAGAGACAAAAATAATCATTTTAAAATGATGAGATGACGAATACTTAATCCTAGTCAAGAGGAAGCTATGGAATTTAACGAGTAGGAGAGCAACATGGCTAGAGTTCCACTTTAGGAAAAGCACTTTGGCAGGGAGACTAATTTGGAGGTTACTGAAAAAACCCAGGAGAGATGACAAGAACTTGAATAAGGGTAATGACATGAACAGAGAGAAGACAAACATGTTTTGGAAATAGAAACCAGATTTGGCAAATGATTGAGTATGTGAGATGAAGGGAAGTAAGTAGTAGGAGATGGCAATGAGGTTTTAAACCTCTTCGGTTTGGGTGACTAGAAGGATGGTGATGTTCTTTACAGAAAAAAGTTTCGAAGAGGTGGTTTGGAGATAAAGAAAGATAACGTAATGAGACAAAACAAGAAAATGATAAAAGTTGGAGATGTGGGAAAATTGGAACACTAATGCATTGTTGGAGTTGTGAAATGATCCAACCATTTTGGAAGGCAATTTGGAACTATGCCCAAAGGGCTAGAAAAACGTGCATACCCTTTGACCCAGCAATACCACTTCTAGGGCTATATCCCAAAGAGATCATACAAATAGGAAAAGGACCCACATGTACAAAAATATTTATAGCACCACTTTTTGTGGTGACAAAGAATCGGAAATTGAGAGGATGCCCATCAACTGGGGAATGGCTGAACAAGTTGTGGTATATGAATGTAATGGAATGCTATTGTGCTATAAGAAATGATGAACAGGCCGACTTCAGAAAAACTTGGAAAGACTTGTATGGTCTGATTCCGAGTGAAGTGAGCAGAACCAAAAGAACATTGTACATAACAGCCAAGTTGTGTGATGATTAATATTGATAAACTTAACCCTTCCCAGCATTCCAAGGATCTAAGACATCTCCAAAGGCTTCGTGATGGAAAATGCTATCCACATCCAAAGAACTGTGGAATTTGAATGCAGATCGAAGCATACTATCTACTATTTTTTTTTCTTCTGTTGAGTTTTGTTTCTTTTTCTGGTGGTTCCTCCTATTGGTTCTAATTCTTACATCACTAATGTGAAATATTAATAAGAATGTATATGTATAGCCTATATCAGATTGTGCACCGTCTTGGAGAGAGTAGTGGGGAGGAAGGGGGAGAAAAATTTTAAACTCAAGCATATGTGGAAGTGATTGCTGATAAATCAAAATAAATTTTAAAAAATATAGCACATGTAAAAAAAAAAGATAAATGAATTCTGTAACGATGATGACAACACACTCATTCCTGCTGAGACTCATTCTGTCCTATGTAAAAAGGAGAGGAGGGGTGTTGGGCTCTTATTCCTCACTACACTGGAGCTTGTCCTCTCAAGGGCCCTGTTGAAACCAATGGTAAAGTTGCAAAGGCGTATTTAGGCTCAATGTCAAGAAAAACTTCCTAACAATTAAAGACGTTCAAAAGTGGAATGGTATTATCTTGTGATATTGTGGGTTCTTCCTCCCTGGAGACATTCAAGCTCAGAGTAGAAGACAGTGTCAGGAATGTTATAATGGGGATGCCTCTTATGCATAGGCTGGACATGCACACGATACAGATGCCTGTGATCTTCTCCAACTCTCAAATTCCTAACTCCAGTAAAGGAAGCTTACAACTTTACTGTCTTCAACTATTTTACCTGATCCCACATATCCAATAAGTTACCAAATGTTGCCACGTCTACATTTTCCTACCCTCTCCTACGCTTTCTCCACAAAGATGCCCAAATTGTTTTCCTGAAGCGTAGGACTTGACATTCAATCACTCCCCTACTCACACTTCAGTGGTTCCCTACCAATTTTAGAATTAAATGATTTCATCTTTATCTTGTCTTTCTTAGGTTTTTATTTCTGTATGTTTTATAACGTACATAATTATCAGTATAGTAGTATACACGTAACATACATATTGAGGTTGCGTGCTAAAGAAAAGCATTTTTTTTATCTATTTAGTTTTCTTATGTGGTCAAGCCAAACTTTTGAGAAATTCTAAATCTTATAAAGAAGGTTTTGCAATATTCTAAGGCTTGATGCAATCAGCAAATGTCATTCACAACAGAGTAGCTGGAGGGCAGCAAGAATCCATCTTCCTGTTTCTTGCCTTGCTTGACTTTATTAGAGGAACATTAACCAGTTCTCTCTGGTTGCATTAATCAAGTAGTCTTGTGTGATGTTAACATCCATGGGAGACACCTTTCTGGAACTGGCTAATGTGACAGGCTGCTACAGTGAGAGAAAAGGCTAACGTAGGAGGCAGGGATGGAGGAAAAAACAGGGACAGCTCAGACAGTTGCTCACTTTTTATTCTTGGGTGGTGGGTCCTTTAGTACATACGTCACAGGACAGTCGTAAGACTCAGATAAAGTCAATGTGTGTAAAGTACTTGATGTTAGGAGTCATTGGACACATACCAGTCATGTGACCCTGGGCAAATCCCTTTACCTCAGCACCTCAGATGTGGCTCTACAAGTTGCAAAGCAGATGCATAATGCAGTGACAGAGTTTCCTACACCAATGAAAAAATTAAAATGTCAGCTAATAACAATGAAGAATTCATCCGAAACCCATCAAAGAATGAGAAACCTGCCTATGAAAGCTGTCAGTCTTCTGAGGGAACTGTCCCTTTTCTCTTGTGTGCTGGGGTGAACTCAGTTTCATGACAAAATTCTCCCAGAGGGGAAAATTCCTTCTTGACTGCACATGCCTGCAGATTACCAGGCCAACAAGACACAAGAGCCTAGCACCTTGCTGGGAAACACAGAGAGTCTGTTGTTAAGCAATACCTCAATATCTCAAATACACATATACACAAAGCACCAAGAAAGACTGAAGATTTTTTCTTTATTTTTTACAAATTAAGACTTTGTAGATTTCATATATTTCTGAATCAAAAACACCTTTGTCTTCACAGTATGAGTTATAGAATGCAGCCTGAGCTGAAAACCAAGAAACTAGAAAAGAAAGTGATAGTTACAGTAATTACTGTATTAAAAACCTGTTAGGCATTCTCTTTAAAAGTGGAATTTTTTTCTTGTCATTCTTGGCACTGTTTCTAAAGAAAAACTTTTTATCCCAAGCAAAAAGCACAAAAGGTGGAATTTGGCTTCAGGAGACATTAACACAGTCAAATTCGTAGCAAGGGTAGAGCAACATCAAATACATGGACAAAAGGCTGCTGGGGGATACAACAGGGAGAAATAGTCCTACCTAGGTCTGGTACCCTGGGATCAGAAGGCAACCACCTACAGAAGACAGAGCTATACTGAATGCCACAGGATCTGGGAGCAAATGCTTCCCCAAAAACAAAGCAGTACTGTACTGCAGGAGACCTAGCTCATAACACCAGCAGCAGTGCTGTCAAAGGGAAGGAAGAGCCAAAAAACAGAAAGCTGCTGGCAAAAAGCGCTAAAGTAATTCCATCCCTCCTGCAGTACAGCCTCACAACTATTCTTAGAGCCATGGTCATTTGGGATGACACCTTCATTTGTATGCCATCTGACTCTGGTTGAAAATGCGGATACTGGTTTGGTGGTCTCTATTAGCATTCTCCACATGTTTACAACTGGAGTAAGGTGGCATAGGGATAAGGGTCATTTGTAGGTTTGGTCAAGTGAGCCATACCTTCATGAAAAAAGGTTGCCACCCCAGAGCTGAATTTCTGTAAAACAGGCAACAGAACAAGAGCTAGGAATCATCTGCCAGAAATTAACTTGCTGACTTAAGACACTGCTCTAGCACTGCTTACTTACAGTCAGCTGGGGAATGGACCAGATGGTATTTAAGAACTCTGCCACTCAAGCCGTCACAGCAGCTCTAACCCTGGTGAGTCAAAGAGCCTCTGAATGGAAGGGTGGTTCTACCATGCTCTAGCCCACAGAGTTGTTCAGAGGTGCGCTGGCAGGTTCCATTAGAAACAATTCTATAGTGCTCACCATGAATTGCAGCCTTCCTGAGGCCCAACTCCAAGATACTTTGGGTATTCTAATGACAGTCTACTCGGCAACTAAGATTGAGTTACACTTCCGAGAGGAAGAATCTAGGGGAAGTTTAGAGAATCCAACATTATCCCATTTAACATGCATAAGGTTTCTTTTAGGAGTTGCAGTTGCCCCATGAAACTAACATTTATATACATACTGAAAACTCTCCTACTCAAATGGATCTGACTGGACAGGTTCCCTGAATTAGGGCCAGGCAAGGAGTTAGGGGAACATCCATCAAGCCAGGACGTCTTGAGAAGAAGGGGCAAGATGGTACGTCTGCCAAACTGGCAGTGATTCAACAAGGCTCAGAGGACGTACAAGTGCCTTCCAAAAAGCTTCTTCCAAAGCAGAAAGATCAGGTCACTTTGTTTGCAAATCTCTTAAGGAATTGGCAGAAGCTCAAGTCCAAACAGAACTAAACACAGGAGCTAAGGGTTTCAGAAATCTCTATTCAACTTGCTAAAATACACACTGCCTTTATCTCCCACCCACAGGAATGGCTATTAAACCCAAATAATGCTGAGAGAGAAGAGGAGGCTTTGCAAGGAAAAATTTCAAATCCACCAATAAAGTACTGCCATCAAGAAGACTCTTGGAACTCGCTCCTTCTGCTTGGTTGCAGTTACTCTTCACATACCAGGGACTGACTGTCGAAGGACAAAGGAGAGATATGGAATCCCAGGGAACATGAAGCCAAACTCCAAATTAGAATCTGCTAATCAGTTTTCTGATTAAAAAAACTCAAACAGAGAAAACCACAAAGTACAAAAGCTTTTCTGATGCTTTTCCTTATCACAGAACACGCCACCTGTAATGTGTGCAGAGAGGAAATGAGAGGATGAGGGAAGGGAGCCAAAGAGGGAAAGGCTGAACAGCTGTCTTACTTCTTCTCTTTCTTCTTGTCCTAAAAGGAAAGAATCACAGAGTCAACCCAAATTACACTCTCAGACCTTACTCAGGACTACTTAGGCTACCAAACCCTCTGACTGCATCTTACTCAGATGCTTCTGAAAGTAAATTCAGGGAGGTTAAAGATAACCACTAGTAATAAGTAATTATTATTAAACAAAAAATAGTAAGCACTCCAAGTGTTTGCTCAGTGTTGCACTCAGAAAAAAACCCTTAATAACCATAACTCTAGTTTAACTTTGTTTGGAGGGAAAAAAAAAACTATCAGAGCATTAAAGTTCAAGAGTTCACACTCTAGTACAAATCTGATTTTCTAACAGGTGTGGTCAGTGTTTTAATTCAGTGAAAATGACTCAATCCAGGGGCAGCTAGGTGGTACAGTGGATAGAGCACCAGCCCTGAAGTCAGGAGGACCTGAGTTCAAACCCAGCCTCAGACTAAACACTTGACACTTACTAGCTGTGTGACCTTGGGCAAGTCACTTACCCCAACTGCCTAAAAAAAATGATTCAATCCAAAGCAAAGGACATGAACTCCTCCAAGAAGGACAGACCACATGGCAGCTGTGCCTCACTGAGCACAATGCCATCAAAGAAGCATTGATTACTGATAAAAATCTAAGCTTCTTGATCATGCTCCTTCTGTACTGTGTAAGAGCTCAAATGTAGAACAAGGCCTTCAACTTTCCAGGGCTACCTTGGTCTTGTTCAACTGCATCTTATTAGCCACAATGCTAGACAGAACAGGCATTAAGAAGTCATTTCATTCCTTCTTCATCATGTATTCGATATAAAGACTGCTGACTGACAGCAAGTTTGTATGGGCTGGTCCATTATTTACTCCCAGTAACCAGCAAATGTTTTCTGAGCAATAACTATTTTCACAAATATTATGTTTTCATGTCTGAACTTTCACTTCCTGCTACTGAAATGTGCACTTTCTGTTCAGACTTCAAGTCATCATTATTAGAAAATGTCTCCTTTCCACCATCTGGTTCACCCCCAGTACTAGGCATGATACAATACCTCCCCCCAGCATCACCCATGGCCCATAATAAATGCTTTCAAATGAAAGGTTTTCAAGATGTAAGTAAGGTGCTGTCTTATTAGAAGGGTATTCTCTCTTCAGTCTTGGACAACAGAGTTGACTTACCTTTTCGTTCATTGCTAGGATCATCATGAGTTTCCGGAAGAGGGTGACAAAATCCAGGAAGAGGTCAACACAGTGCCTGGGAGAGAGAAACCATGCCAAGAAGTCAATACACTACACTCTGCTTAGCCCCAAAGGCCACACAACAAAACAATCTGGAACCCTTTTTTCCTTATAGGCCTCAGTTTCTAAGATGCTCTACCAGTCAGCTAATATTCTGGTGTCTCCAAAGGATGAAAGCTGTGGTAATACGCCATGAAAAAACAAGGCTTGCTCCATGCTAATTATCCCTTCTCCTGTACTTCCAGGTCTAAGACATTACTGAAAAGCTAGTGCTACTTTGAGGGTCTGATCTATTCTAATCCAGAAGAAAGCCAGGTTAGATTTAAGGCCACCCAAAGGGTCCAGATCCTCTTGGTGGATGGGAAGGGATACAAGAACTGAACCGTCACTTATACACTTTCACACCTTCATATTGACGAAAATGACAATTCAACCTGATACCCTCACACTTACCAGATATAATCCTTATCTCCATTTTCAGCCTTTTCAATTATGAGCTGAGTATCAAAAAGGACAAAGCCACACATGACCACCAGTCCCACATACAGATTCGCCTAATAGAAAAAGAATAGGAACATGGTTACCATGCAATCAACGTGCTAAGAGACTTTTTACCTTTTATAGTATGTGCTATTGAAGCCTTCCCTAGAGCATGATGGACTTATTTATGGCTGTAGACCATTTGAAGAAACCCTAAATAGTAACTAATAAATGCTAATATTTCTAACTAATACCAACATTAGGGGGCAGTGAAAACTGCAAAGTAGATTATCATCTTTTTGGGACATAATTCTGTAAACTTAATTGGATCACTGGAAGAAAAGAACAGCTTACCTATATCTAAGGTCCTTACAGCTCTAGTATTCAATGAATCTTTGAATCTCGAGATATATAACTCAAAGGACATTAAACTGGTGGTGTAAAGTAGGGTCACCTCATAAAGATTTAGTCCAACTAAAATTAAATACTTAAATGCCTAAAGCAATGTCCCAGACACTATGTTAGGCACTAGGAAGAATATAAAAATAAAAAACAGTACTCCCTGCTCTTAAAGTTTACAATCTACTAGGGATTATACCTGAAAAGACTATTAGTCTGGTTTACTGGAGAGTAAAAGAACCAACACTATATTAGTCCTAAAGCCTTTCAGTTCAAAGCCAAAATTATAATATTCTGTTATTTCATTCCACACGTAAATGATTTACCTGGAACAGCCAAAAAGATCCAAAGAAGAGGTTCCCAAGGGAGGAAAACAGCATCAGGCTCATGGCGGACATCAAGATACCTACACAACAGGTGGTAAAAAGCTACTTCTGAGAAAAGCCTGAACATCCTATTAGAGCCATCCCTTCCTTTTCCAAGAATAGTGAAGATATGAGACAGCCTCTAAGTTAAACTCAATTAAGGATCTTCAACGAGTGAAAAAGGATGGGAGGAGGGGGAGATTTGTCTTACTGAGGCCTCAATACAGAGCAAGGGAAAACCTCCCAACTTTTTAGAGCTTCCTTACCTCCTAGGAAGAGGTAGCTGCGACGCCTAGCATAGAGTGCACTCAAGGTGAAGCAGCTGAAAATCATTGCTGTGCCAAGGAAGGAGGTAGGAATGATGCTGCAAAAGAAAAGGGTGAGATTAAGAAACGGCCAGATAGGTAGTGGGTATATAAAGGCTAACAGATTAAAAACTCTAACGTCACTTACCTGGGGTTGATAGCAATGCATAAGTCCAGGGCAGGGCCCAAACCAACTCCTAAAAAAGTAAAAAATAAGGACCTAAGTTCAAATCTGACCTCAGACACTTGACACTTACTAGCTGTGTGACCCTGGGCAAGTCACTTAAACCCCAATTGTCTCACCAAAAAGCAAAAAAGAAAAAAAAATTTTAAAAATAAAAAATATCCCATAATCCAATATTGACCTTCAGTTATTGAAAAGGCACCTCTAACTCACAGGGCCAACTCCCAGCAGGAGATATGCAAATAAACATTAAAGATATCAGACAGCTGACCTAAATAAATATAATTAAGTCTACTTCTTTTTCCTCCCACTGCCTTGGTTAGGTTTTTATGTCAATAACATATTTTGGGGGGGGTAGGAGGAAGGGCTGATTTGACTAGCCACAGATTTTCCTCCAAACAACTAGGAGCTACAATGTACAATGGGAGAGAGGCAGTAGAAAATATTAACAGGTGGGAGGATTTTTAAAATCTAATTATAAGCCTTTAAAAGTCTGAAAAGGGCTCATAGCAAGGTGGACTAAATGTCAGGCATGATAATTCTCATTCATATATCATTTTACAGTTAAAAAATGCTTTTTCGTATCTGATCTTTAAAAAAACCCTATGAAGCAGACATAACTGGCCCTGTTTTGTGAATAAGTACACAAACTCACAAAGGTTAATTAATTTGCCCACAATCACATAGCTATTAAGTGGCAGAAGAAAGGAGTAAACAGAACTCAGGACTAATTAAAATCTCTTTCAACTCCATGCTTCTCTTCAAGTAAAGGAAACAGGAACAGAATAAACACAGCTCAGAGCACTTTCACATTTTAAAGGTTATCAAAAAATATAACCTCTCAGGATGAATTCAGCCACTTCAATTACCTGTAAGGAAAGCAAATCCAGTCAGAAGGCCCAGTCTCTTCTGCTCAGTTTCATGACTGTGTGGTGTTGCCATCAGCCATATCATCAATCCCAAAGAACCCAAGGCTGAAAGCAAGCCAGCCTGTCAGAGTCAAACAAACAATTAAGTACTTGAAGGATAAGAAGAGTTTCTTTACAAGAGACTCTACTGAGTCTAAATGCTCACAAAGTTAAGATACTCATGATTTTCTTGTAATAAAATGCCCACGCAGAAAGAACCTTCTAGCAGCTGCCCTTTCTGGTTTTCATCTCTCTGTCCCCAGCCACCACTGGCTCTCCCCATAGATATGTGGGAAATATTCTTCCTCAGAGGTAAGGCTGATCAAGAATCTTGCCCTGAAAACTATTTCTCTTCCTGGTACACAAAAAGCATTTATGGGACATTTGTCACTCCTGACAATCTGGGAATTCCTGCTCACTTGTGGTAAGACATAATTATCTTATTACTTGCATTTTCCTAACAAAGACAGCTAAGGTACAGTAGGTTCGTTATTAATTATAATTCATACACAGACATCTTATGACATTTCTATAATCTTTCCTCACAACAGACTTGTTAAGGTTAGATAGAAAGTTATCCTCATTTTACAGATGAGGAAACTGTGGCTCAGGTAAGGGTCTGGATTCCAAGTAAAGGTCTCCTAATTCTAAATCCTGTATTCTTTCCACTGCATCACCTGACTTTTACCCTATGTGATTTTCTCTGGACACTATTTTCAGTGCTCCCTCATCCTACAACTCTACTCTAGTATGGAAAAGTGAATTTCCTGAAATTCCCTACTCAGATCTACTGAATATCATGACTCTGAAAACCCAGGTATACTTAAGCCATGAATCATCCAAATTACCCTGTGTCTAAACTCAAATGTTCTATGACTTCACCACATGACATCTTGGGCAGAGAAAGTACAGGTGAGAGAAAGAAGAAAGAGATCAAAAAGGCTACATGTTAAGGAGAATCACAGCACGTAATACTATGTCTCTATACCTGTAAGTAGCTATCTTAAGATATCAGCAGCAGACCACTCTCTGCTAAAGAGTCAAGACATTCTGGTTTTAGTATACGCTCAAAATAGTTGCCATATACTATCCCTTAATTGCCCTGTATTTGATGGCTGGTGAAGTTCATAACCCCAGCTACTGATAAAGATGAGGGCTGGACATTAGCTTGAGACACTGCATTGAGCAAGTTCCTTAAATTCTAACAGCAATCAAGTCAGTCAATTGTTCTTACCTGAATGAAACGGGTGACCACATGGACATATGCCCCTGCAGCCGCCACAAACATGCAGAGGGCAAAACTGGCATAGACCTTCTTCAGGTGCTGCTGTGTAGAAGGTGTGCTAAATGATAATGAAAATAACAGTCGTCACTCTAGGAACTAAGGCTATTCTTGATGCAAATTAAAAGAGGGAAAAGTTTGAAACTTCAATCTATTTCCCCTACATGTAAAACTTCCCCATATTCTAAAAGTTTTTTGAGTATTTTGAGATGCTATAAGGAAAACACAATGTATTTCTTTAAGATGTTTCAAGACAATGTTCTTAAAAATGGATAATAGCAAAGACAAAAGGCCAAATCACAAAACACCTGAAAATTAGGTATCCATGATATACAAAAGATGAGGGCACTCAAAGCTAAAATAGTTAAAAGACTTCCTAATGATTTTGCAACAATGCTAAGAGTCTGGCTTCTTTGATTCCTGAAAAGATTTATTAGTTTGTCTGTTAGCTAGCTTATGACAGTTAATGAACTAGGTCAAAGAATAAAGGTCAAAACACTTACATGTGGGAAAATTTTAAGAGCGCATCAAAGTTGATCTTCCTATCAAACATGTTCATGGTGCTGGAGTCTGTAGGACACAGCCTTCACTCTGTAGGAACGAGAGAGGTAGCAAAAAACAAAAGGATAAGTTTAAAGAATATGAAAACACATAAGACATGGATAAATCACTTAACACTTTCTCAAAGGAGAAGAACAGTCCACTGCCTTTTCAAAAGACCAATAAATTGGTCCAGGAAATTTTGTTAGTGATCTAGTTAAAAGGATTCAGAGTTAATTCCTGGAACATAAAGTGTTCCTACCATTTTATTTCCAGCTGCTGGAAAACTTGAGTTTCATTAAAGGTGAAGAATATAGTGAACCTGAAGGACTCAAAAGAATGCCAATGACAAAGCTGGGCAAAGAATTAGTACTTACAAACTATATAAGGCATTTAGGAAGAAAACATAATTACTAGCTGGAATATTTTCAGGACATCAGAACACCTTACTTCAGTAAAAAACACACCCTGGGATCTTTAATGCCATGAGGTCAGACTCTTCAGCTTTAAAGATACTTTCCCTACACAATCTGTGCATATTCAACCCTCAAAATCAAATCTATACCATAATAATACATGGCTCTCCTCTAAATCTCAGTCTCCCAAATACGCCTCAGCCTCATGATGTATGTATGCAATCTAAGGCAATGGAAAAAGTACTAGTTCAGTACTGGCTTGGGTTCAAACCACAGCTGCAACAAATCCCTTTCTACCTACCTAACTTTGAAAAAGTCTTTTAACCTCACTAGGTCCCAACTTTCTCTTCTGTAAGATAAGGGTATTAATCTAGATGACCTCTAAGGCTCCTTTCAGTTTTAAAATCAATGTCTCTATTAAGCAAAAAACATTCTCAAATATATTGTTTATAAGGCAACTAGAATATAATATATACTTCATACATATTCTGATCAACACCTAGGGCAACCACAAATACAATTTAAGGCAACTAGTGTTGAAAAACCACAAAGCCACTAACCCCAGGTTTGGGCCAATGTTTCTCTTACAGATAAAATGCTTTTGAAGCAAGAAGAAAAGATAACCCTCATCAAACATCCACTACATTAGTTCTTCCTAGGACTCCATGCCACAAGTCAACATTATTTTGTGCAGGGCACATAGTAAGAATTTTACTTCCTATTCTCCCCACCCCCTTTTGTTCTGCTAATTTTATCTTTACCCACCTTAATGCTTTTGTTTGTTTGATCTCAATCCTTGAGAGCTGGATATACTGCCAGCTGCTGAATCTACTAACACTGTTGCTCTCAACTCTAAGTCATGGGACTCTGGGTTTTCTTGATCTAGATGGTGCAATTATTGCAGGCTGTTGCAAGCTAACCATAACCTTCCATAACCATGATGAGCAAGTCCCCTGAGCAGCTCTCTTACAGGATGGCATAATCCAGCATCTGGAAAGTGTCATTAACACTCCTAATGATATCCCTAGACAGAACTTAGAAGGATTCTGAAGCAGCTTTCAAAGCCACATATTACAGTTTCACTGCAAATTCCTAGTTTATGGGAAATTATTTTTGCTTCTAGTTTCAAGATATACTTCCCTTCTAAAAGGGGAAAAAAAATCAAAATTCTAGTAAACTGATGTAACTAGATCCCACCATCCAGGGAAACCTGTAAGAGAAAGGAGGAATAATGGAAACAACTTTCTTCCCAGTTCATTTTTTGAAGTTTCCCAGGAGTATCTGACAGGCTCTTTTCTGTGGGGTATCCCTTAGACCTGTAACACAGTGTCATGGGAAAGAAGAGCCAAGGTCAGCAGGAATTCCTTCTTGAGCCAGAAACAATTTCTGGTGTAAGATTTACACGACTTTCAACTCAGCCTGACCTTCTTATAAATAACTATGAAAACACTCAGACTCCCTCTAAAATTTCAGTGGAATATGTTACCTAGTTTGTTCCCAATCTGTTCCAATAGGGACTGGACCTGTGATTTAATTGGTACAGGGAATTCTCAGGTGAGGGAGATCATGGTACCAATGCAAGTACCTAGTCTGAGACTTTTAAGTCTTAGAGAGTTGCCCAGAGCACTAAGAAGTTATCACTTACCCAGGGTCAGACAACCAAGGGCCTTGAATAATCAGATCTTTCTAGCTTCCAGGAGAGGTCTTTATCCACTATACCCCTTAAGATCAACTCTTCTTAAAAGTTCTGTCAGATGGAATGAACATACTAGACTCAATGTTTAGTGATCACTGACATGTAAACTCAACTGAACAAGACTAAATTATTTCACACCTCAAAAAGGGGACTGGAGGAAGAGAGAAACTCCCAAATAGAGAGGAATAATTTTAGCCTTGTGACTGAAAGATCACAATTATTTAAAAACAAGTAACCACATAACATTTAAGATGAGGAAACAGTAAAGGAACTCACTATGGGGTGGTTTTAAATAAATTAAAACTATTTTATCAAATTCATTACCCAGTCAGTCATAATCCATCAAGGTAATAATAGTTCTTCAAATTCAGTCCTTTCACACTTCTTCACACTTACTGCTACCAGTTCTTGCCTCAGGCACAACTGAACTCTTACCAAGTGGCTACCTCTAAAGAGCAATCTACCATTAATCTCAAAAACCCTGCAACTCTAGAATTTTTTGTAGAAGAAAAATCTGTAGTGAAAGGAGCATAAGGCAAAGAATATTGTAAAAGGCCCAACAACATAACATCTATGCAGTCTTTCCACTGGTAAAAATAATAATTAGATTTGGTTTTAGGATTTCACCAAACAATTAGGAAATCTACATACTTTGTATTTAACAAAGCATGGTTCCATACTCAAATGAAATACTATTCCAAATTTCTCTAATGTTTATAACTTCATTTTTTGCCTTCATCCTTAGGATATAGGAACCCTGAAATTTGTTAGGAACTACTGCAAATATATACACTCTCCCTAAAGTTCTACTGGAGCATTCTGTGAACTATGTGGTTTCTTTCTGCTGGCAAAATCCCAATGAAAAAGAGATTAAGGTAAAGGAACTCATGGTTTTAAGTGAAGTATTGATGTGGTCTGTTTTTGGCTTTGGAAGAAAAACATTTTCTTTGGTACAGTCTGTGACTTGTAAAACCTCTGTTATACTGTTCTGTGTGCCTTCCCCACTAATTTGTCTTGCAATGGAAGATCTTAATAATAATTACTCATGGGAGCAGCTAGGTGGCACAGTGGATAGAGCACAGGCCCTGGAGTCAAGAGAACCTAAGTTCAAATCCGGCCTCAGACACATGATACTCACTAGCCGTGTGATCCTGGGCAAGTCACTTAACCCTGATTGCCTCACCAATGATGATAATAACAATAATAACTCACATGTATATTGGCCACTTTAAGGTTTATAAAGTACTTCTCTCATAATAAAACGGTTGCAGTTAAGTGTACCGTAGTATTTTGTAAATAGGATTGTTTTTTAAAAATGAATTTATGTTTACAGTCTTATCCCAAATGCCTAATACAATGATAGGAAGAACCGAACAGGTGCTAGGTGCCATAAAAAACAAATCATTCATTTATAGTAGGTGCTCAAATAATATTCAATGGTGAAGAGTATATTGACAGTACTAACTATATAGATCAAATTGTTTGTTTGTTTTAAAGAAACATTTCCTTTGATGATACGGAGTAAAAGGATGAAAGCAGAGCCACCCTGCTATATGCACATTTAGTGATACCAAAAACCCACAAAATGAGTAAATACTTTCATTAAAGATAAATTTGGGAAGTATTGATAAAGTGACAGTCCAGTCACCTTAAACCCTGTTACAACCAATCATTAAGAGAATAAATTTGCAACTATAAAAGCTATGTTCTCAAATTACAATGAATAAAATTCATGGTGAAAAAATTGTTTAGGAGTTTTATTTTTTACAATTTCTTACTAATGAATTAGTATTAATAATTAAATCTTACATCAGTTTTTTTATGAAGTCACTTGCATATTTATTAAAAATGTTTCCATTAATGACCCCTTTAAAGGCCTGGTTTAGGAGGAGCTAATTCTAGACCTTATTTACATATTAAACATTACATTCTTATAAAAGAGATTAACAATATTCAGTTTCCTCATTTGTAAAATGAGGGTGTAGGACTAGATGACTTCTGAGATCCCTTTTATACCTACTTCTCCTTCAGGCTATTTATTCCAACAACTATATGACACATAACATGCTTTCTGTACCAAAGTGTGAATGAGGTTGGAATCTAATGCTACCTAGCCATCTCTTAAGTGTTCAGCTTATTTCTAGGACAAGAGTTCTTTAGACTAAGGAAACCATTTCAGTCTAGGCCTTGGTCGCCACAGGTTAGCTATCTGGATAAACTCTCAAGTCCCTGAAAATCAGCCAAGAACAAATGTGTTCTTTGGTGGTGTTCTCTGACCAAGGATAACCTGGAACTGCTCCAGGTTCCCTTAGGCTCATATATGGTCAAGTGCACAAGACTGACCCAAAACCAACAGCCTCCTTCCTTAAGGAAGGAACTTAAGTTGAATAGGCATCTTTCTCAATAAATTCTTTCAAGTAATCTGTCACTAACTCAATTCCTATTAACAATAACTACAATAATAAATTCAGTTTCATATGCCATACAATCTTCTTTTTCTGTTCTTTACATGGGAGAAATGTTAATGCCTTTTGATGTTTGTCAAAGTACATAATAATAAAAAAGGAATTTTCCAAATAACAACCACAATACTCATCACACCAGCAAAGAATAGCAAACTAAATTCAAAATATCTTTTAAGCACAGAGCCAGAACAGTACTCTGAGGATTCTATGACCAGTAATATAACTGGTCCAGGTACCATACCTCCACTCCCACTCATGGAAGCCAATTTAGGATAATTAAGGTTCTGGTTTACACTAGAACGGCTCTAAAGGCTTAATTTAGTCAAAGACTCAGATGGAGGTGGGTGAGAAGTTCACCCTGCACATGCATTTTTTTTTAAAGAGGCCATTCTTTGCCTCATTTTATTAAGCTTTAATCACTGAATGGAGGCTGCCTCAGTCAAACTGAGACCTGTTAAAGACCTTAGCTTGAAAAGGCCGAAGTCCCCCACTGCAACTCCGGCCATCTCCAGTTGTCCTGATCCATATCTGGCCACTGGACCCAGACAGCTCCCGAGGAGAAAGTGAGGTTGGTGACTTTGCACAGCCCTCCCTCACTTAAATCAAATTCACCCGCATGTCATGGCCTCACCTGATGTCATGGTCCTCTTCCAGAACAAAGGTCAAATAGCAGTGAGTTTCAAAGGAAGCCGTACATCCTGGCCTTAGGAGCACCAGAGTTGCTTTTATTGAAGCTGACCACTCAGGATTATCTACCCTCAGAGGCTGCACTGCAACAATCGATCAAACAATCCCTCTCTCACCCTATCTTCATCTAGACTTACAAACAAAAAATTGTACATAAAAACTGAAAATCTGGGGAAGGGGTCCATGAAAGTAAGCTAAAATACTGTAACAAAATTCATTTTTACCCACTTCCACCATATTCTCTATTAAAGTGAAACCAGAAGAGAAAAATTTTCAGAGAAAGAACAATTATTTCTATTGAAAATGGAATTTTAAAATCCACATAACAGTAAGATTGGCATAAAAGATTTAGTTAGTAAGTATTTATTAACAGAGGCATGATTGCATCAGTGTAGGCAGCTACCAAAGCAGATTAACACCTTCTCTGCAATTTACAATCTCAGAATTGCCTGCAGCACAGAAGGGTTAAGTGATTTACCCAAAATCATGAGCTAGTATGTATTACAGGTGGCACTTGAACACAGGTTTTCCTGACCAGCTACACTAAGATGCCTCTGCCCTCCCTTCCCCCCCCCTCTCATTTTTCCTACACTTTACAATTTTCCCCAGAGGTAGAATAATCCCCTTGAGTGGTTTACGAAATAAAATGAAACTCTTCAGGTTCCTTCCATGGAATAGTAGGGATATAGACTGTCATATCAATAGGTTAACCCTTAGCTGATAAACAATGCTGTTTGTTTGAAATTTTTTGTTTGAAAATAAACAGTTTGGCATTTTAAGTGTACACCCATCAACAAATAAGAATCTAAATAAAACTACATAAAAAACTTGTTGGTAATTTTAGGAAAATCTTGAGTGCTAACAAGAACTGTAACATTTCAATTCATTTCACTTTTATTAACAGTTAACATTTAGCTTCCTTCCAGCTCTGGCATTTTAAAGTTTGCTAAGCACTTTCCATACATTATTATATTTATTACAATAAATATTGTCCCAATTCTACAGATGAACAAATTAAGACTAAGCAGTTTAAGTAATTTGTTCGTGGTCACACACCAAGGAAGTGTCAGAGGTGAGATATGAACCCTGGTCTCTTCTGATTCACTGTCATTTCTCAATGACCCCATTAACCCTAAAAGAATCTTGCCTTACAAGAAAAGCACAATCAAGCAAAACCAATTAATAATACATGTATGCCTCATTTTGCCCTTTATGTCTACTACCCTTTGCCAAGAAACAAAAAGCATGTTTCACCAGAAGACTTCTGAATTCATGCATTGATCAGAGTTCTGAAGTCTTTCAAATGCTGTTTTAATTTACTTTATTGTGGTTATTATATAAATTCCTTTCCTGATTCTGCTTACTTTGCTCTGCATCAATTCATACAACTCTTCTCAACTTTCTCTGAATTCTTCAATCACCATTTCTTATGGTACAATATTACATTACATCCAGAGACAATTTGTTCAGCCATTCTCCTACTGTGCTTCAAAAGCCATGTTACCATAAAAAGTGCTGTTATTTATACTTTTGTATATATGAGGAACACGACTTGTGATCTTGCTGTGTCAAATGTGTGGTACGGCTTAGTTAATTTTTAAATATACTTCCAAAATTGTTCATTGCATTAGACCAATTAATAACTCTACCACAAGTACATTAGGGTATCTGGTGCTCTTTCTATCATACCAAGCTGCCTCACCTTTTCTAGTCTTCTTTTAAGGGAAGAAGGCTGCAAAAGAGCCACAACAAGAAAGGAGACAGAGAAAGAGGGTTCTCTCAAAGGTTTTCACCACAGGATGGAAAAATAGTTGACTGGAATTACAAACTGCATTTCAAGGGCTGAATGGGATATGTGTCTGTAGGAACCTTTCAAACTCAAATTTCTCCTCTGTAGAA